TAAAAACACACACTGACTCACTCTCCTTAAAAACACACACTGACTCACTCTCCTTAAAAACACACACTGACTCACTCTCCTTAAAAAAACATCATCTCCTTAAACTGCTCTCCTTAAAAAAAACACACTGATCACTCTCCTTAAAAACACACACTGACTCACTCTCCTTAAAAAAACACTGACTCACTCTCCTTAAAAACACACTGACTCACTCTCCTTAAAAACACGCACTGACTCACTCTCCTTAAAAACACACACTGACTCACTCTCCCTAAAAACACACACTGACACACTCTCTCACTCATGCATATATCTTTCTTCACCCAACTATCCGTTATCTCTCCTCTGGGATCATTATTCATTGCGTGCATATTATATTTTATGTGCGCCGTATGTGATTGCGTGAGCCGCTGTGGGACTTGTGGAAAACTTGTGGACTCGGTGTTATTTCGTGTTATATCACTCTACGGTGTGTAAACCAGCGAATACTTGCATTTTGGTAATTTAAGTATTGCGTATATTTTCAACTGTTGATATATCTGTTTTATGTGAGTTGTGAGCACACATCGGGACTTATTAAGATAGAGCTGAGGATAACCTAAGTTAACTCATCCATTTGAGCTGTAATTTATTGTCTCAGTAAACGTGGCAAAGTAAAAAAATAAACAATAAAAGATACAAAGGGAAGGGGTGGATTGCGCAGTGGGAGGGTGTTGGGGGGGGGGGGCTAGCTTCCTCAGCGGGAATTCTTTAGCATTTCAAAAGTATTCTTAAGCGCTCAAGAAGCAAACTCCTGTAGATATCAGTAGTAAGTAGGAAATCCAGAAAATAATTTCCATATTTCTGTATATAACGTAATACTCTTGTTTTGCGGGTGAATCTTGTCACACTATGGGGATTCACCACTAGTTACACACACACACACACACACACACACACACACACACACACACACACACACACACACACACACACACTACTGTTCACGGCGTAGACAGTCTTTTGTATAAAAATTACCTCCCCTAGTTGTATCAGTTATTAACATTTATTCGTCTACATGTTTACCGTTCTTCAGCCTTCTGTCTTTTGATTATTCTTGATTATTCTATCTCTGCAGATGATCTTTCCTTCAAAAGCCTTTATGTCCAATCCTTTCACTGCTAATGACCGATGTAGTTTTTTTTATCGACTTTTTGAGGACGTATGTTATAAACATTACTATTGACTCTGTGCTACTCTGTCATTTTATCTGTCGTTTGTATTAATACACTTGTTAATGACAGTTACTATTCATATTAATGCATGTCTCATTTCTTGATCACGGTGTTTATTTTCGACAATGACAAAACTACCTCTGACTTGACACCGGCGACGTGACAGTCTGATTGGTTGTCTTCCTTCTTGCGTTTTCTTTCATGGCTGTACTACACGTTTTCTTTTTTGTCTTCGGGGTGACTTTACTATACTTCACGTTTTCTTTTATCTTCGGGGTGACTTTACTATACTTCGCGTTTTCTTTTATCTTCGGGGTGACTTTACTATACTTCACGTTTTCTTTTATCTTCGAGGTAACTTTAGCGCGCTTTAAAAATCGCTCTTGTCTTTTATATTATTATTTAGTGTTCTCTCTTGATTTTTTTGTCACTTCTCTCCTCTGCTTTTTATTTCCTCGCTTTCCTTTCTTGTAATTGGTGCCAATTTTCCTCTTTTTCTCTTCTTCATTTCATAGCTCTTCATATACCCATCAGCATTTCTCTCTGTCTTTCCTTTTCTGTGCTTCTCTCTATTTCTCTTTTATCCCTTATATGACTGTCTTCATTTCTTCATAACTTCCCTTTCCTTTCCCCTCTCCCATTTTCTTCTTCTCTGCCCTGCGTATGCCTTTCTTCGCATCCCTTCCCTCCTCCTCCCCTTCCCTCCTCTTTCTCCTTCCCTCCTCTTCTCCCTTCCCTCTTCTCCCTTCCCACCTCTACCCTTTCCCTCCTCTTCCCCTTCAATTCTCTCCCCCCCCCTTCAATTCTTTCCCTCCTTCCCTCCTCGTCCCCTTTCCCTTTTCTTTTTCCTTCTACCTTTTCCTCCTTCCCTCCTCTTCCGTTTTCAATTCTCTCCTCTTCCCTCCTCTTCCCCCTCCCTTCTCTTTCCCTATCTTCCTCTTCTCCCTTCCCTCCTCTGCCCCCTCCCTTCTCTATCCCTTCCCTCCTCTTCCCCTTCCCCCCCCTCTCTTCTCCCTTCCCACCTTTTCCCCTTCCCTTTCTCTTTCTCTTTCCCTCCTCTTCCCCTCCCTTCTCTTTCCTTTTTCCTACTCTTCCCCCTCCTTCCTCTTCTCCTTTCCCTCCTCTTCCCCCTTCCCTTCTCTTCTCTTTCCCTCGTCTTACCCCTTCCCTTCTCTTTGCCTTTCCCCTTCCCTTCTCTTCCCGCTTCCCTTCTCTTTCCCCTTCCCGTCCCCTCGCAAGCCGGACCCCTGACGTCGCACTAACCCCTCCATCCCCAAGGGAGCGATCGCCCAGCACCAGATCCATCCCAACGCCCCCTGTGTCAGGTGTTCTGGACCAGCCTGACGGAGGGGGCGCCCTGGTGGTCACGGCGGACGGCTCCTCCTTCCTGGCCGACTACCTGGTGGTGGCGCTGCCGCTCGCCGTCCTCAAGGAGCGCCACCTCACCACCTTCATCCGCCGCTGCCCAGGGAACTCACGAGCGCCTTCTCGGTTCGTGCGCTTTGGGTCGGCTGTGTGTGTGGTGTGTTGTTGTGTTTGTGTGTGTGTGTGTGTGTGTGTGTGTGTGTGTGTGTGTGTGTGTGTGTGTGTGTGTGTGTGTGTGTGTGTGTGTGTGTGTGTGTTGTTTGTGGTTGTTGTGTTGTTGTTTGTGTGTGTGCGTGTGTGTGTGTTGTTGTTTGTGTGGTTGTTTGTTTGGTGTGTGTGTGTGTGTGTGTGTGTGTGTATTTGTGTTTGTGTGTGTGTTACTGAAAGTGAGTGAGTGAGTGATTGAGAGAGAGAGAGAGAGATAGAG